CAAATCTCGTGAAGAGATGTGTTCCCCTGTACTTTTATGCCGTGAATGCACATGATCTAAAAAAAATCGAAATCTCAATTTTAAGAGGTTTGGGCGTGTTTCGGCTCCTGCAGTCTGGCCGTTTAACCCCGGATCTCCCTGTACATTCGACCATGCAAAGTTCCTTGCGGGACGAACTACGGTACCCATAACCGAACTATTTTTTCAGCACAGACCCGTTACAGACCCGAGCTCTGGATTCCTCAACGCAACGAAGTTCCGTTCTCGGTGGCTCGTCTCAACCGTGATGGACGTCACCGATGCGAGCTATCGAATCTCGAGCGATCGATCGATTGCTCGCAGTGCAAAATCGGAACCCGCGAACAATCGAATGACCATCCGTGGACGGTCGTCGATTATCGATGGCGCAAGGAGACAGCGCAGTTGGTGGACAGGACAGGACAGGAGTCGGGCCCGCATACGTCCCGATCCGTATTTGGAAACTAGATCCGATTTCCACGACGTCACAGCGCACGTCAGTGTGGCCGCCCCGGCCGATGCCATTCTTGATAGAGCAGTTATACATGCTCCGATAAAGGCATTCGTGGGCTCCAAGATTTTTCTGCCGTCCGCATATAGACCTACGTAGCCCGAGGGTAGAGTGGTTTCTCGAGAGATTACGGAAATCCGGAGATCCCTCGCTGATTGGCTCAGCCAGTGTTCACCGGAAAAAAGTCTCTTGGATCCGGAGTCCAGACTCTTAATAAATCTGACAAGGAAATAATTCGTTGATTTTACCTTTGTTTCCCGATCACTTGGCGATAGCTATTTCGATGCTACGATCATCATCAGGCCACTTGGTCTTGGTCTTGGTCCGAACTTCTGTTTTCAGTTAAGGTGATTCGATGGTCGCCATATTTTGTGTCAGAACGGCATGCGATATATCGCATCGATTGGTTCCATTTTTTCAGCTACTCGTCATTTTTCTCAGATTTTGAGATCGCAATTCTGTTGTCAGCAGACTAAAGCACTCACTTACCAATTTTAACAAAGAAATTCAACGTAATAAAGGCGTGGTTTTTTTAGAGAGAAAACATCGCATTCGATACTGATATCGAAACTGCACTCGAATGCGATATTTTATCTCTAAAAAAACCACGCCTTTATCATGTTGAATTTCTTTGTTAAAATTGGTAAGTGAGTGCTTTAGTCTCCTGACAACAGAATTGCGATCTCAAAATTGGAGAAAAATGACGAGTAGCTGAAAAAATGGAACCAATTGATGCGATATATCGCATGCCGTTCTGACACAAAATATGGCGTCCATCGAATCACCTTAAGTTCATTTGAAAGTTTGACCCCACACATCGAGCGTCGTTTTGACGAATCGGAAGTCTGGTCTGACAAGCCCAATAGTTCTATTTACATGAAAAAAGTTGGCATTGCTACCATTTCTCGCCTAAAATAATTGGAAAACGTGGTTCTAGCATCGTGAATTATTTATATGAAACGGAAGAGGTTTCAGAATATCAGAAATCTCAATCCTTGGTTCATGCAACCTGTCTCTGACGAGGAATCTAATTTTAATACTGGAAGTGCAAAAGATCTAACTGACAATGAATATTTTATTAGCGTTTTTGAGGCCTCGTCAGTGAAGAGGTTACGTCAGTTTTGTTTACGTGCGCTTCGGATCGTTTCGGGTCTTCTGCGCAGCTGCCGTAATCCACGTGTGTTGACCGATGTGAGTAAATTGAAACGAGTCATTAGGAATATTGCGCTAATTATGAGTCATTCGCAACGTTTTACCACTGATGATGGTTATTTTTCAATTACGTCTCTCGAATACCGCAGAAAAACGTCGGAAGTTATTATTTCTGAAGCATATCCGATCATGATAATAGCGTAGCTATCGATCGTGTGATTATATTATATTTCATTGAGAGGAAGTTTTGAATTTTAAAAATCATTCAAATCTAACCTTTAGCTGTCCGTTGCGCACACAAGTTACGCCAAACTACGTAGACTTCTTTTCAACGGAAAACTATTCAGTGTAATTTCTTAAAAACTTCCTTGATATTTCTTCTCTGTCAGCAGAATATTCTTATAAATATCAAGACATGAAGTTGGGTTGATTCTCCTCGAAAAATAAAATAGTAGCGGAAATTTTAAAACACCGCAATGGAGGTATGTGGTTTTGCACTTCGGCCCGCGATATCATGATGCAAATCCGATTCACGGATAATCGTATCCACGCGATTTTCCCCTCGAAAGTCCACTTTTTTTACCATATCCAGGGTGTCTATACAAGTCCGGAATTTTCGGAAAATACGGAAATAATACTGATGTTTCAAGGGCGGTCCGGAAGTACTGAAAAAGAGCGGGAATCCCGCAAGGAGGTCCGGAATTTTTACATTTTTCTGTCATTTTTGTCGCAATTTGAGCGGGAAATTCGAACTTTTTAAAATTTTCGAATTTCTTTACTGAAAAAGTACTGAATATTTAATGTTCAGGAGGTACTGAATTTCTAGGGAATGTACTGAAAAAGCACTGTGAAAGTACTGGTTTTCGGCCAGCCTGTTTTAGTGGGCACCCTGATATCTCTTCTGCACCAGACTCATCCTCCTCATTTCACATACGTAGCGTTCATCGAACCCTCGTCGCCGAATCGCGAAAATTTCAATACGAAAAAAAGTCGAGATTGCGAAACGCGCCAATTAGGAACGAGAGCCTCGTGATACGAACGTTCGAACGCGCAACGGCAGTGGCGTGGCGCGAATTGCGATGTATCGATTGTTTTGCCATTCAAACGTATGGTAGAGGATCGATTATCAAGGTGTTCGCTGCGAACACCCTGTTTATCGATCTTTTTCCATAGGTTTAAATGGCATAACAATCGATATATCGCAAAGCACGCCACGCCGCTGGCAACGAGCATCGCCACCGTGTGCCGTAACGCAATCAACCTACATTTCAGTTTTGCTCCCACATTTGCAGTCGCGCCTCCGTTCTTCGCGTGAGATACTCCTCAAAGCCAGTCCTGCACTGAAAAAAAAATCTCGGTGTATTTACTAAGAAAAGGGTAAAATTACCGAGAATTCAGGGTTCTATTTGATCCCAATTTTTTTCTTGGTAAAATTACCATTTATGGAATTGGTAATTTTACGAGAAATCTCGGTAAAATTATTGAACTTTCTCGGTAAGTTTACTGGACCTTGGTAAAAACGCCAATATTTTTTATCGACTGTGGTAGAATTACCGAGATAAAATGGCAAAGTTACCGGGAATTGATTACCAATAAAAGTGGGATTCGTACCTGAAAAAAACAGTAAAAATACCGGTTTTTAGGTAAGCTTACCAGTCTGTCTTGATAAAATTACCAATAATTGGTAAAAAAAGTGAGATGGTAAAGGTACCAACGGACCTTGGTAAAACCGCCGAGAATTTTTTTTCAGTGTGAGGCAGATAAGTAGACGCTGTTTCACCGGAATCCTCGGGGGGACAATTCTTAAAAGTATCTCTGAAAAAGACGAAAATTATCCGAAAGAGGACCAGTTTTTGAAAACCCTCTGGATTTCCAGGTATAGGAACTGACGACTCCCGGACTTCTCCTACCCCTCACGAGGATAATAAATTCTGCGATCATTCTATCTGTACACTGTTAAAAATCCCGGCGGGCATATCGCGCTCACTCAGTTGGCAAACTGGCCAGGCTGCACTCAAGGGTGTCTACAAGTCCGGAATTTCCGGAAAGTCCGGAAACAGAGCTAATTTTTCGAGGGCGGTCCGGAAGTATCGAAAAAGTGCAGAAATTCCGCATGAAGATCCGGAATTTTATTCATTTTTGTCGCAATTTGAGCTAGAAATCCGAATTTTCGATTTTTTTCGAATTTCGTCAATTGGAGGTACCAAGACGGAATACTATACCATTTTGCCACACATATCACATTCTTCTTGGCCGCATCCACGCTCTTTGGGGGAACCGAATTAATATTCGTCGCGTGTTTCCCGTCGTAGCCATCCAATCCGGAGCGGGAGTGATATTCGCTCTGAGCTTATTTCTTGCGCCGGTCATTCGCTCAGAGTAAATCCTTGATTATTAACAGTGTAAAGTTTTTTTGACGAGTTTTTTAAAGGAAATACCATTATAGCTTTCCGATGAAGCCTTATATTAATAGGGGGAAGAAGATGCAGAAGAAAATGGAAAAAATAGCAAAAATTGTGAATTGTAGCTGTAAAGATACATTTGAATGTTAGACCTCCAGAAATGTATTCCCTTCCCTGATCCCTCCACATAAGCGAATCTCATCTCGGCCGAGTGGATCGACTAATTCAGTGATCACATCATTCGATACTTGAATTTAATAGGAGCAGTTCGGTGTTTGGTGAATTGCCGCAAAAATCAAACGACCAATTCACCTGTGACCTTTTGCATTAGCTTTTTGAAACTTTCGATCAGAGATAATACATTTTAGGGACCCTGCAGTCCCTGCTCTTTCAACTCCAAGCGACATTGTACACTGAAAAAAAGTTCTGTTGTCACAAACCAGAATTTCTGGTTGTATTTCGTAACCAGATTCTCCGGTTGATT